AGTTATGCTGGCGGTAGCATAGCTACTGGTAGGGCCTCCCTAGCCAGATTGGTCGAGGGGGAGAGGTCAGACTAAGACAGGTACCCTGGTCCTCCAGGGTGGGGTTGGTTGCAAGGCTAACAACCTTGCACAGTAAAAAGGAAGATGTTTCGAAACCTCAATCAAAGCCTCGGACAGACGGACCTAACAGAGGACCGAATGGAAGAGGAGAATTGAGGAGGCCATGGACCGAGTACGGACCGGAGAGCCATAGAAGAAGAAGAAGATTAAAACCATTTCTCTTCAACTTAACAAGCACCTGATATATTTATTAAAAGAACCTCCCCATTATGTAAATGAATTCCATGGTATATAATGAATGAAACTGAAAATGCGCCGTTAAATAACACAGTTTTCATACAATTAAATATTTTGTTTGGGTCAGTAAAGTGGTAAATCCAGATACATCTGTTTCTGTTAGAAGACTGTATTCCAAATATAAATATTTGTGCAATGTTGTGACATACTTGTGTTGGGTTCTGGTGTCTCTGTGGGGAAGAACTCCCTTGTTACAGCTCTGAAGCCACCTCCATTTAAATTAGCACCAGGACTCGTTTGCTCCTTGGCGGGCGAATGTGGCGACTGATGAGGAATTGATGGAACTGCGGCATTAATTCCAGGTGTTGATGGGGGACTGTTACTGCTGCTACTGCCACCTGGGTGTAACCCATGCTGTGTTCCGCCTCCACCATTTGCTAGTGGCAAGCTACCGCTGTTGCTATCCTGGTAACTATCTTCATCTGAATCAGATGATTGATTGCTTCCATTGCTACCTCCATGATATGAAGACGCTGCATTGTGGTCTGCGTGCTGTGGGCTCCCTGCTCAAAAAACAAATATTATTTAATTTAACGGTGCTCTTTATTAGCATAGAATATAAATATAACAATTTAAAATTGTGATTAATCAAAATTATCTTACATAAGCAACATTATGATGCTCTATACTACAAATTAATTTTCATGAATACCTGACTGGCTGTCAACAGATGGCGCAGGGCTGAGTGTGACAGAGTTTCCCTGATGAACGAGATGAGCAAGGCTCGGGGTCTGGAAGTCCGACGCTGCCACAGCTGTTGACGTCAGCAAGTTGTTCCAGGTTGGGGTGGAGGGATGTGATGTCGTTCCTGTTATGTGGTGCGGCGAGAGCATGTAATGACGTGACGTGGGTGTCACAGGACTACTGGGCAGACAGCGCTGCAATGTCTGCGCATCTCTCATTAGGAGTTGCAGAACATTGTGCAGAACATCGCCTGACCCTGGAGAACGCTCTGCTAAGTCACTTTTTGTGAGAAGGCATATTGCCTTACCTGCACAAAATAAAATAAGTTGTTGTTGTTATCATCCTTCATTACAAGTAGGTTCGACTGGACACTGGATGCAATAAGCACATCACAACTGCTTAGTCATCATCACCCCCACCCCCCAGAACCATGTTTCACAGCATTTGTCCATAAGCCAGGGTAAAACCTTGTCCCTCAGGCTCATTATATAGTACTGGGATATTGGGATCGACCAGTTCTTCAAGTGCCTGAGCACTGTGGGTCCCAACTTTTCGTTGTTTCGATCTATAGACATTCTGTAGGACTCTTTGGACGAGGGATCGGCCGTCGCAAGGCCTCTACCTGTACACAGGACAGCACAACACAGAAAAACGCGGACAAACATGCATGGCTAGAGTGGGATTCGAACCCACGGTCCCAGCGACCGAAAGGCCCACGCCTCAGACCTCGCGGCAACTGCTTCTGGTAGTAGCTTCTGGAAAATGTATTTGAAATCAATGATGTTCTACATTAAGATCTTCCATGAAACATGTGCCCTTCCCACATTGGCCATCATTTTTAGTTGCAAAAATCAGTGTTTACCAGGAATTGCAAATGCTTTTGAAACAATAAGCTTCCAGTCGCACCAATAATTATGAAGATACTGCCTTTCACTTACCATAATTCCCATAACTGGCTCAGATAATTCTTGTATACTGTGTCTAGTTTTTACTATGAGTATAGAAAGACCCTGATCATGGCCGGTGAAGGGCTTTCATGTTGGTTGGACCTGCAGGTTCTGCTACCAGGGAGTTAGTTTATAGAAAGGCCATGACAACGTGACATGTACCAGTCATTACAGATTTTAGTTTAATATTATCAATATTTTTAAATGTTCTCTGACTGGGTACATATAATTTTGGTGGTTTATAAAATAACCGGTGGTCTAAATTTTGTTGTCTTTTATCAGGGAAGAAAACCCACCTAATTACATTGCTGATTATTAGAAAATATGAGTTACCAGAACAAAATTACACTGCAATCTATTATTACCATTCATCTGGAACATCTCCATGTCAAAATGAGGCAAGTCAAATTCCCTCTCACACCACCTGAGGAATGTGGCCACATCCTCACGTGACCAGACTCTTGGATCAGATGCTGTAACAGAAGACAGCAAACATTCACTGTTAACATCCTGCCACCATTATCGACACAGACAGATTACAACTCCATATGCCATAGGGGCAGTAGAGAAGTGAAAAATAACCAAATACAAGCTGAATTTCAGATATAACTTTCTGTGTGAATTATGACATAGCATCTGAATGACTAGTATCCTGCAACTCCAGGGGAAAAATAAATTCATAAAAGATTTACCAACATTAAAACTTTCCAAGTGTGGAAAATAAAACTTTCCTTTCCCAACTTTAAATAAGAGGAGTTAATGTTGTGTCTTTACCTTTTGATGCAGTAAAACATGCAACTGAAATTGATGTTTTGAAAGAATAGTTACAGGTTCCAAGATTTTAAGAAACATGATCTTTTCACATATTTTTGGCTCCCTTCACAGTAGATGTAGCACAGTGTTCAAGAGATACCGTATGGATTTCATGGAATTACACAGCATATGACGAAAATAAGAAAAATAAAAACACTTTTTACGTGACGCAAAGGCGTATTAATTACACAGATTGTATATTGATAGGTTTGGCCTTGGATTCAGTCTCCTCCCATTCTTCCTGTTTTTCCAAGGATAACAAGGACAAAGAATAATCTCACAAGTCTCGGAAGTGACGTCACATCAACTTTTCATTAATTTTATCTAGTGTCTGAAAATATTGTTGTAATTAGAGACAATATCTCAAAACAATTTTATTTAAGCGTACAGTTAGTTATAAGTCACGCTGGCTATGTAACAAAGTCTGAGAAGGCCTGGTTTAAAACTGAAATATCCCGAGACTTGTTGCTTTGTCCCGCAAAATGGTAAGAAGAACACTGCTTCTTTTTTCTTTTTCACAGTTGCACGACTGAAGCGCATTCCTTTTATTCATAATGTTTTCATGTATCAAAGTCCGATATATCGCAAGAATCACAAGTGAGGCACGAAACAGCGTCACGTTTACAGCACTGAAAACCCGTCAAAGAGGAAATGGCCTACCTAAACTAGTTGGAAGGTGTGTCTTGAAGTCTAGGAGCGGAGACATTGGAGGCGGCTGACTGGTGGCTGCAGGGAATCCCAAGGGATATCTCCACAGCAAATCCGTAGGGCTGAAGGGCAGCGACAGCGGCAGACGATCCATCGCCGTGACGGGGGGCAGAGAAAGGGGCAGCAGTTTCATAATACAATCTGCCGGATGACACGGTCACTTTGTGTTGTTCGGCACGGATCTCGACCACTCAACCTGTAAGATACGAACGAACATGGTCTTCATTATCGTACGTCTGGAAAATAATGATATAAGCGTGAATAATTAAATATTTCTATGTATATTCAAATCAAATAGTTGGATATTTTTCAACAATCGGCTCATCCCCGAAAGCCGAAAGTACACAGTCCGTTGTAAGGCTTCCTTATCTTCATGTTGTCATTAAATTTTCATTCTTTATTGCATTACATTTGGAAAACGAATATTTCACGACTGTCACGAACGAACGTTGTTGAATATACCTAACCTATATGTCTAAATGAAATATTACACATATGGGAAATGAAGGAAACAAACAACAGAAATATCAAGAAATAAAAGTTTAAACACACTCCTCTTTGTAGACGACCGAGCGATAATGTCAAATTCAGTTGGTGAATTCAATCAATCATCAATTACTGCGTTCTCTTTCAGTAGAGTGCGTTCACCTGACACCGGGTTTTCTGAGGATAAATTACACATATCAGTTCATAATCGGAATAAATTAATATGTAAATATGGGATGACAATTTCAACAGAAAAATAAAAGAACAGTGGTATTACGTGTGCGAGAATCCACAGAAAGGAGAATAGTAACAAAGAACAAAATAATAAAAGTCAATACTTTCAGTTGCCTCGAATACTCAATGTCATATGAAGGGTAAAAAAAGTTTCAGAAGATACATAATTATACAGACAACGTTCCGTAAAGTATTAACCTTCCATAAAAATATGGAATTCCCTACTTACATGACGAAACTACACAACTCTGTAAACGCAGTAAGTCAGTACGAACACTTCCGGACCTTCCAGCAATGACATTTGCAATCATTTAGGTAAGTGACTGTAACTTCCTTCGCGTGTCACTCAAGGCCCCTCCATAAAACTTCCTGCACACAGAGCATAACTACCAGTCCTTGCAACTGCAGAAAAAGAACGTTTCTGAGTCTAGAGCAAGTTGTTACGCGTACGTAGCTAAACACCATGGAGCCTAGCTGTTTGTCGCACGAGATGGGAGAGAACCAAGGATTGTCTCCTAAGACAGTCCGACCGACGACTGAAAGTACTGTTTACCCGAAGGGTTTTAAAGAGGGCGCGATCCCTAAACAGTAAATTCGTACAAGCTATAAATTTCTTGAGTGATCCAGAAAACAAATTTCGTTTTGCTTTCACAGGCATTTATGATTTTCGGATGCCAAGAATCCAACGAAGGAAGAAATCGATACAGGCGTTCTGACAAGAGTACTAACATTACATTATAACGTGTTAACATTACATGTTAAATATCTTTATTTTGAAGGGCCCCTCTTTAATAGTTACGTGTAAATCTTCAGAATATGATAGCATACATCTTAAACCAGCGCTTTAAGAAATATTACTCTGGTCCTGAGATTTCATGCCAGTGGCGGGCTCTTGTTAACTCGGCAATGAACCACAAAAGACGGGGCATTTGTCGACTACTTGTGCAACTACTAGCTTCAAGAAACATGTAAAAACGCCGTTCGCATTGAGCCAACTCAGCACAGCGTCCAGAACCAAACTTATATACACCTTGAAATAGGCTACGACCTTCAGATTCCAGCAATATCATCCAGTTAGTATTATATTACACACGCATAAACAGCGCACACGTATGCTGTGTGGGATACGTGATGTGTTACAACTGAAACTTGCTCAGATTTTCATTAGTCATCGATTTCAGTGCAAGCGGACAAGTGACGTCTGGACATTCAAAGATAAATGCAAGATAAATTTGTATTTTACAGTGCGGCGTCCAAAACATGTGAGGAACAATGAGTGAGTGTCTTCAACAAATCCGATCTCACACTTTTATCATTTGCATTGATAGTTACATTACAACTTCTTAAAAACAAGGAAATGGCGACGCAGTATGTCCGGGTCAGATGGCCACACACGGCAGTCACCGGCATTTCAGTACAGGGGCTGGCTGGCTGGCTTCAGGGTGGAAGGCCGCGGGCGATTCCCGGCAGAGCAGAGTTTCTTCGCCACCGGATGTCGAGCTCATCCATTTCCTATCCAGTGGGTAGGGGGGGATAAAGATGCTGGAGCTTCAATTCTACTCGCAGACGAGCTTAAGAATGCCCCACTGAAGACCTCTCACCTCTGTGTTTCACGTTAGACCGATCCCCTGTACATCTGTCCATCAAAACCCGAGACGCTTAGCCCAGACGATAACGTGCGATCCTTATCCAGATACACTCGGTTCGTATCTCTCTCTGTTCGGGCATCTGCATCGTGCCTGACATGCCCCTTCTCTCCACGCGAATGCCAGGCCAGTGCCTTGAAACAGGACATGCTTGCCACCCTACAACATAATAATTATCTCACTCCTTTCAAACATAAATAACGCCTAGGCTTCAGATTGCATCGCTAAGTAACGCAATAATTAGGTATTAAACCAAAATTTTGAAATATTAATTACACCATCACCCTTTTTTACATATTTACTACCACTGTATGTTGCAATTGTATTTCTGCACTCTTCAACTTCGGTCACCTTTGTACATTTTTCGACTATCACCTGGTTAACTTAAGATTGGCTTCACATCGTTTCGCCTATTTACGCCGTTGCATTATCTTGTGGTGGATTTACAACAGGAAACACACGATACATACATTAATACCTGTTAAAATATTCACAGATATTTACCTCCGTTGTTATTCTTCCTGGCTGCCATGTGGTCTGACTGTTTATCGTGTCTTGTTCTGGCCTGTCCTCGTGTCTTTTTTTATTATGTTGTTGGTTTTGAATTTTGGTTAGATGATTCTACAGGGTATGTTCAAAGCAACAGGATGCTACAATAAACGATTTTAAAATGTTATCTTTCACTAAGCAGTTTAGATCTGATGCGGAAAAAAAATTGCGCAGATAATTTTTGTGAAGAAATTTTGAAAACTGCCATCCGAAGGCCGGGATGGGGAAAACAATACTAAAATGTATCTCAGAGAAACAGGATGCAAACTTGGCTTACGTGCGTTACACAAGAGCATGTACAATAGCGGGCTTTGGTACAAAAACGTCAAGTTCCTAGTGGGACCCGCAGGTAAACACCGCGAGTGTCTGTATGATTCCGTTTTTCCCCTGAACAAGAACTTCCACGTATGCCAATAATAACCATCAAGAAACACACACACAATGAAATACAGTGGGTCATGACAACTGAAAGACAGACGTAGGACGCAGTGGTGTAACGGTCAACAATTCAAATCATAAGGCTGCCAATTCACTAACATGACAACAGTTACAGTTATAATATATGCATAACAGACATATGATCACATAAACATCCCACAAGCCCGAAAATTCCTTAACAGCGTTGCCACGACAACAATTACAATAATTTGTACATAAAAGATGCAAACAGTCATACATATTCTTCTATTAAAATAATATTACCGAAGAGTTACTTTAGCTTCACTGTTCCGCAGACGGTTGTGAATATTTGTGCAGAACTTGCAAGACAAGAGAGCGGAAACATGAGCCAACAATAGTTTCATTGTTGTTCCCCGAGACACGAGACAGTTACGAGGTGTTGGGTACCACCCGGACAGTGAAGCATAGCCACTAGGTTGCTGTGTCACCGCGGACACAGCAGCAAGGCAGCGCGACGGACTTATACCGCTAGAAGACCCGAACCGGCCTCAGGAAGCGTGGCCACGCGCTGATTTTTGTATGAAACTAACAGCAGTTTGTCGTGATGACAACGGAATAGGCAGGCTCGACTTCCAGCCATCCCGTTTTAACGGGAAAGCAATTTTTTTTATGTCCCGATGTTCTGATATATTATGTTTCAAAGGAAAACACCGATCTGCAACAGGCGATCCAGCAAGTCTACACACTACCTTACAAAACATGGGTTTCTGAAATTAACTTCTTAAAACACAGTGTTTACTATGTATACCACCTCTTAATATTCAGTAACTCTGCATTGTGTCTTTAAGAGTGTATTTATAGATGTCCAAAGATTCACAGCAATTATTATCACAGAATAGCATTTACCAATTACTGATCTTTGTAACAGAGACCCTCTTTGTCTCTGAGTACCTGCTAAGTTCTGCCCTTCCACAATGTTCGCTCAACAACCAACAGTTTATCTCTTCCACAAGAGTCCTGTACTCACAGTTGTGTTCTATTTTGTACATTGGAGAGGAGATGAATTACTATTATTGCTATTGTCGCGCAGTCCTTCAGAAGCTGAGAGTACGCTCACCTTTTACAGTCAAGATATTCTCCGCTTTTCACAGAACCGGAAGGTTAGTCACCGCGTTCACAACGGCCCCGCTACAGGTCCCTACCCTGAGCCAAAAAAATCCAATCCACACTCTCCCACCCTGTTAACCAAAGACCCAGTTTAATATTAACATCCGATCTACGCCTACATCTTCTGAGTTGCCGCATTTCTTCGGGCTTTCCAACAATAATTTTGTACGCACCTCTTATCTCCCAACGCGTGCTACATGTCCATCCTTGGTTTTGTCATCCTTAAAATATTTGGTGAAGAGTACAAAATGTGAATCTCCTCCTGCCACTTTATCCCTCTTGTCTAAACAGTCTCCTCAGCCACCCTTTTCTCCAACAACTGCAGTCTTTGTTCCCGTTATGTGAAAAGCGAAATTTCTCTCTCATGAACAACGTAACGCCATTTTAATTTTATAACTTCAGACATTCCTTTCAGTTTTAATTTATGTGATAACATTTTTATAACCAACAATAAATCAGTAACACTAAAACATACTGCTGAGTCAACTAACGAAGTTCGATTTTTTATTATAGATAAACCTTTACTTCCCTTTGTTCCTTGGTCTATTTCTTTTATTCAGCTATGAAAATTCAGCATCGGAAAAAAACAAACCACATTATAATCACGATAATACTTAAAATACCACATGAACCACAAACACTACAGCAAAACGGGTAAAGTCAGAATAAATAAGCAAGCCCCTGCAAGGCACCATTAATTTGAAACGTGTGAAAT